CGTGTGTGAAATAATAAAATCGCAGGAATAAATAAAAGGAGTAAGGGAAAGAAGAACACCGAGATTTATACTGGTTCACCACCTCGTGGCTAGTCCAGTCCTCCGAGAGACTCTCTCGAAAGTCCTACTAATCTTCAAGCTTCAACGGGTGCTTGAAAAACCGGTACAACTTGAGAACTTGAATCACACAAGCCTCACTTTTTTACAACAACAAGACTTGAGTCACACAAGTCTTAAGAACAACACTCAAATGAGATTGAGTTTACAACACAAGAATGAAAGCTCACACAATTGAGCAAACACTACTACACATATCACCTTTCCCAGCGGATAAATTAAGCCTTACACAGCGGTTCTTAACCGCTGTATATGCCCCCGGTGGGAAAAGTCCAGACTTTAGACAGCGGATAAATATCCGCTGTTTAAAGTCAGTATTTTAGACAGCGGATATTTATCAGCTGTCTAAAGTCCACTTCTCATAGCGGATAAATATCCACTGTCTAAAACAATTATTTTTTTAAAAAAATAATATTTGATACTACACCTACTACAAAATTACAATCAGACACATTTTATTGAGTTATAACATTTCTTTAACAATAAACATATATATTAAGCGAAACAAAAATTCTTTTCATATTATGAAAAAGGGATCCTTCCCAAAACCTGTAGAATAAAAAGTATGATGCTGCTAAAGCATCCTATAAACCAAATTAAGACAATACATAACAATTTAGAACAAAACAACATTCCAGTAGACTCCATCAAAGCCGCTTCCCAGCCAAAGCATCTTTCGAATTTCCATAACATAATGACCTAAATAATATCTTGAACCAAAGAAAGACAACAACTTCAAAGTTAGCTCTCAATATCGAGTTTCCAGTGTGTAAAACAATTAAAATGATAGAAAGAAAAACATCATTATGCAAATTTTATACATACAGTTGGTGCATTTTACCACTGGCTTAGAAGGTATATCTCTTGAAACATATACCATCAGACTATTTTCAAGCACAGGGCAGCAACAACGGGAAACCAATTTGGGGTACTACACAGAATCCAAGTGCACAACTCCCAAAAAACCAGTGGGTTTTGATTGCCTCAAAGATGTCCGGCCAAAACACCATAAACCACTGTCAATAAAAGCTGCACATGAACCACCCCATGAAGACAATGCAACAAAGAAAAGGTAAAGAGAGTCTAGGGCAACAAGAAACCATTAGCTCCACCATAAATCAAGTTTAAACATTAGGCAGAGGTCACCAAGCTCCCCAAGACATAAACCTTAGCTATAGCAGTACAAAGATTCCTTCTAATACTCAAAGAATCAATCACCACAAGCCTTGCCCATCTTTTTCATTCACAAAAGTCCAGCTCCAAAGATTAGAGCACTCAAATAGCTCCACAAAACAAGAAAATAGAAACTTCCCAGAGAATCAACGTGATCAGGCACCACGGATTAAACCCAAGAATAACCAACAAAATCACAAAGCCCAAACCAAGATCAGATGCTCCCCCTGAAGAGGATTATTCATATTTACATTAGCCCAAACCAACCCAAAATTCAGCATCCAAGTCAATTGTCATGTTTTTTCACAATCCCAATCAAGGAACACAAACAATAATGACAATGGCCTCCTTAGGAATGCGACATGAGCGGGACTGAGGGAGGAGCCCGGGGAAACCAAGGAAAACATCTCCTGTTTTCCTTCAACATACTCAAACAAGCCATAAGCAAGACACAATGAGCTAAGCTTCATCAAAATCAGGAGCCCACGGGTCCTAAACAGAACATCAAGATAGCAGTAGGGAAGAACATGAACATTACCACATTTTCAATAAATCATGAAACGAATTGCATTTGTTGGATAAAACGGTAGTTTCAATTCCATAATAAAACAACCAAAAAACCACAAAAATTAGGAGCAAAACAAACAAGAACCTGGTAAAATCTGGAGACCAAACCCTTGCGGTGGACAGTAACGGCAAATCCAAATTTCAGCTCAAATCAAATGATTCTTCAATTGGAATGGAAATCCAACTTTAGACCTTGAAAGAGCATCCCAATTTTCTTATAATCCTCTACAAATTGGGCTTCAATTGAGCTTGAAACGAGGTAAAGTCGACTCTGCTATTTCCGAGATGAACAGTAAAGCGAAGAACTTGCTTTGAATTCATGCACAATCCATCCCCAAAAATCAAAGATGAAAGTCGAAGGGAGGATCGAGGTACAATACTGCAAGATTGCCTCATTCCAGCGGAGATGGTGTCGATTATCAAAGTTGGGGAAGATAGCATTGATTACATGAGATGGGGCCGCCATGGGGGGATGGCGTCGATTACAAGAGATTGGGGGAGAGGGCATCAGTTACTGGAGATGGCGGAGAGATGGTGTCGATTGTTGGAGATGGGGAGAGAGATGGTGTCGATTGCTGGAGATGGGGAGAGAGATGCGTTGCCTCTGCTTCTGGAAGTATAAAAATTTGAGAAGTCTTCACCGATCTGCAAGGGAAAAGGTAGCGGCCTTTTTTTATCCGGTGCTGAACGTATACACTGATTATACTCCCAATTAAAGTCGTGATTTTTAAAGAGAGAACATTTTTCTTTGAAGAATAGACAGAGGTTCTAATTTATCCGCTGTCTATTGGGCGCTGTTAAAGAATCATTCTGTAGTTGTGAAAGTAGTGTTGAAGGATTAAAGCTCAATGACAACTTCTTTAGCACTCAAAGAAAATATTTCTAACTCTCAAAAATAATATTTTGACGAGGAAGATGAAGCAAGGGATGAATATGGCTCAATGAATATTTTAAATGCAAGAGTGAAGTCCAGAGAAGAAGGAGAATGAGGGATTAAATAGACTGAGTGAAAATAAATCCGTTGGAGCAGGCTGAGAATATATATGCACCAGATAAAATTAATCGATTAACATTAAAGGTTAAATCGATTATGGTACACAGAGGTGAAAAAGCCTGAGAATCAGAGCAAAAGATAATCGATTAAATTAGGTACAAAAATCGATTAGTCGGCTCTGTCCGAACTAATCGATTAAACCAAGAAGGTTAATCGATTAATGATCAAAAGAGAGGAATCCAACGAAGAGCCTATTAATCGATTAAAGTGAAGCAACAAATCGATTAAGCGGCTCTGTCCAAACTAATCGATTTTCAGAAAAGAAATAATCGATTAAATATTATGACCTGAGAAATTGCGCTGAGAAGCAAATGGATCTAATCGATTATCTTAGAGGATATAATCGATTAAAAAAGAAAATAATGTGCAAACACAAAGGGCCCAAGCCAAGTGCGATTGGAAGCAGTTTGGCTTCTAACTCGTTGTTTAGGACAACGAGAATATCAACGCACGCTCCTCAGATAATATCTCCCTATTCAATGAATTTGAGTAGTGGAGAAAAAAAAGAGTCCAAAAATTATTTTGTGTGTCAAACGATGTACACGAAAAATATTTAAAGTATATTTTTCTTACCACAAAAAAATTTTGTGTAAACCAAAAAAATTGTTTTTGAGAAATTTTGACACACTATTTTGAAACTGACTCGGTAAAATATTTTTATACAGAGAAAAAATAATTTTTCAACTGACTCAGAAAATAATAATTTTTATCCCTCAAAATTAATTTGTTTATGCAGAAGGTGTTGTCATCCTTACAAAAATTCCTAGACTCAAATAAAAATTAAAAAGTCTTCAGAGTCTTCACTTCTCTTAAAAAAAGTCTTGCGTAGGGATAAACGTTGATTTTTATCTTGATACGCCTCTTTGCTTTTCTCGATACGAAAAATAAATTTTGATCAACTTGAATTTAATCATCCTGTTTGTCATTCATCAAAACAAAAAAATATTCCAAAAAAAGATAATAAATGGGTTTGAACTCATGTCCAACAAATAGAAGTTCCATGTTTTTATTTTTGAAATAAGAGTTAAAATAAATTTATAATGTCAATCATGATCATTTACATGCATTACCAAAAAGAACTACGAAATGTCCATATTGAGTGTCAGGCCAGTGCCACATTATCTCAATGCAAGCTCCTATTTTAGAGATAAAACATGTAGGCTGTGTTTATGTACTTTCTTTATAGTTTATCTCCTATTTAAGGTTATTTTTTGTACTCCCTCCGTTCCTAAATAGATTACAATTTTTTTCTCTCTTCTCTCGATAACTTTTGTTTGTTTACGCGACTTCATTAAGTATTTGATAAAATAAAATATTCTTGTCACCTCTTGTTTTGTAGAATTTTTGACGTAGTTTTTTAATATGTAATTTTTATATCTTATTGGTATACTAATTTGTAAATAAAATGATTTCAAAAAGTAGGAAATTTTACTCTGTAACCCGCAATTTGTAATCAAATTGGGGACGGAGGGAGTATATTATACTCCCTCCGTCCCAATTTAAATTGCCTGTTTGCATTTTTCTCTGTCCCAAAACAAGTTGCATGTTAGTTGTTTTCGTAAACTTTTAAAAATAAAATACCTAAACTACCCCTAAAATAAGTCACTTTTTTTCACCTTATCTTCTCAGGCAATTTAAATTGGGACGGAGGGAGTAGCAAAATAGATATGTTCTAAACAAAGAGAAATAGAGAATGAGTGTAGAATTTAAAAAAAAAAGGCATAGGCGTTTGAGGAGTATTTTTCATGGCATTTGCAATAGGAATCATTAGGAGAGGGGTAAGATGGTAAAATTTTGATAATAAAAAAGTAAAGTGGAGCGCCAGTAACATTTGTGGAGCGCCAATATCAGCTACCTCTATTTTATTGTAAAGATTTATCAAGATTCTAATGAATTGTTCTCAGCCCAAATTGGTTAAAAAAAAGAAAAAAATAAAAAAGGAAATGGATGGCTTTGGAATTTGGATGGGCGTCACCGAGTTGGCCCCAAAGCCACCTCCAGCTGCGAACGTCGCTGTCGCCGAGTCGGCCCCCAAGCCCCGGCCCCTCTCACTCCGAGCGTCGCCGTCGCTGAGCCGGCCCCCAAGCCGCCTCCCGCTCCGAACGTTACTGTCACCGAGCCGGCCCCTAAGCCGCCCCCATCCCGCCACATATGATGGAGAGGAGCCCCTCCACAGAAAATTAACACAGAAAAATCAAAGGAATTAAAATGGAATAAAAGAAAGACCTGGATCTGAGAACCAAAACATTCCATACGGAATGAACAATGCAAAACACCAAATTGACACCAAAAACACGGTGAAAATGAGATCGGAGACTAGAAGGTGAAGATGAGAACACAGATAAAGAGAGGGAGGGAGGGTGAGGAAGAGATTGGAAGGTCTGGTCTCTGGTGCGTTGGAGCTAGAGAAGATGAACAGAACCCCTGTTGCGGAAGAAAGGCTTCGTGCAGAAGATAGTAGCAAAATCCTAGGGTTTTGATTGGATTTGGAATTGGATTTGTACTTATACTTAAGGCATGAAAATTCATCAAATTCTACATTATTAAAAATCTAAAAAAATCTATCAATTTTTGAATACCATCGTATTTAGAAGAATTATTTATGATTTTGAATTGAATACATCTATATTATGAATGACTTTATAAAATCTAAATTGAATACCTACAGATTTCCAGAATTCAAAAAAATCTATCAGAATCTTGGTTGAATACACCCCCATTCATAGACATTAAGGTTTTGTTTGGATTTGAAAAGAAAATAAGAGGAAAGAAAATGAAATGAAAGAAAACGAGAGGAAATTGAAGAGAAAATGAAAAGAAATTAATTATTGTTTGGATAGGTAAAAAAGAAGAGAAAATGAGAAGAGGAAAGAAAACATGATTAAGCCAAAAGACATTAATGCCCTTTGATGGGTATATCCTTATACCCGACCCGGATAACCAAAAGGGACATGTCAAAATATGACCGGTCACTTTTATCACTCAGCAAATGAGGTTAACTCTTCGATTGGGACGGGTCAAAAGTTGACCGGTCACTTCCACTAAAAAAGTGACCGGTCACATTTTGGGCGTTAGCCAATTCGTCACTTCATGTTATGAAGGATAGTCCAGAGAACCAAAGAGACGGGTCGAACTCAAGGAATGACCGGACAACCTTGGAGGAAAGGTGACCAGTAAGGTTGCGTCACTTGGGAATGGCAATCAACGTCAGAGGCCAGGGGACCACCCCGTCGTTCGTCCGTCACGAGGCAAATAGTGAAAGGAACATTTGTCACTTTACAAGGCTGATTGGATTGAGAATATCCATTTATAGTCTTTGATTGAACAGTACATGTCTTGGCTTGTAGTTGCTAAATTCATTGATTGAATAGTAGATTGATTATGTACAGTGACCTTCCCACGGGCTTCCTATTTTGTCCATGGATGAACAGGGGAAGGTCACAAGTCCTCCTCTATAAATATGATGATATTGGATAGAGGAGGGGGGCCATTCTTTCTCTCACTAAAAATAGTACACTCTTGAAACAGAGTAAGAAATATATTTCGGACTGAGGAGATTTACCCGGTCTAGGTCATACTTTGTGTTCTTGTTGTGTGTTTTATATTACGGGTCAAGTGTCTAGGTTAAACCCGGTCAACCCCCTATCTATATTTACACCATCATTTTTGGCGCCCACCGTGGGACCGATTTTTAAAGTTTTTTCGACCAGGTCAAAACTTTACCCTCACTAAATATCCACAATCATGTCTTCAAGCAACCACAACACTGTGTCAGGTCAGGCTGCGAGTGAAAGCACTCCTGCCATCCCATTGATGATGACGAGCATGGGAACGACCTTTGCCCCGATTACCACGGTAGGATCAATTGGCATGATCCCAATCATGTCAACCCCTACTCCTACGCCAGCAACGACGATGTTCCCCGGCCCAATAACAACGCCTGAGGGAGCATTCACTCCATACCCGTCGGCTTGGGCACAATTTGCTGCTGACCCGGTGAGTGCTCAGGCTCTACAGGGCAACAGGTGATGGCCATGATGCAACAGGCAGGGGGCTTCATGCCATTTGCCTATCCTGGCATGACGCCGCCAATTATGCCACCCCCGGTGTCGACCCCATCAATGTTTGTTCTAAGGATGGTCCCTGTTCGCCCGGTGAATTTGACAGGGATCATGAACGAAGCAGAACCTTCAAATGTTCACAAGGTGGACGAGGCGGAGCATGAAGTGGCCCGCAGAAGGAAGGGTAAGGATATAGCCAAGCCCAGCAAAACTCGAGATTCGGCGTTCAAACGCCTAGGGGACAAAGAGGAGGGACCCCGCAAGTCTGCCAAGCTACGTCTTGGTCCTGAGATGGGCCGGACTAGTGCAATGGAAAGGCTTGGTGGGAGTCGTCCCGCCCCATCTCGTCGTTCTAGGGAATCTGAGACGATTCACCTAGACGAGGAGGAAGCTGAAAATCAGCCCAGGGCATCGGCATATACCAGGCTCTCATTTGATGAGGATGACCTGGACAAGATAGGAAGGGTAGCAAGAAAGCTACGTGCCCTGGAGGAAAAGGTAGAAGAGAAGGCGGGAGCAAAGAAGCACACCCTAGCCAAATCACCCTTTTCGGCCAGGGTACATGCACAAAAATTGAGGCGGAAGGTCAAGCTGGACGTGGAGAAATTCACTGGAAAGGAGGATCCAAATGTCCACCTTGACACCTTCCACAATGCAGCACAGATGGCCGGATGCACTGATGCTGAGGAGTGCTTACTCTTCTTCTCATCCTTGAGAGGGGAGGCTTGTGGAATGGTTTAACGGCCTTCCCCATGGCAGGATTGGGTCCTTTGAGAAACTTGCCGAAGTTTTCCGCAAGAAGTACCAGGACAACTGCATTAAGAGGAAGAAGTTTACCTACCTTAACACGGTAGGGCAGAGAGAGAAGGAGTCCTTGACTCAATTCTTAACCCGCTGGAGGGACGAGGTTGACAAGGTAGAAGAGATGGATGATAAGACGGCCATGTCTTTACTGATGAATGCCTTCCGGTCGGGTGACCTCTACACTGAGTTCTGTAAGAGGCCACCCTCCTCTTATCAGGAAGCCTACAATACGGCATGGGAGTATGCCGAGGCGGAGGTCCTGAACAAGAGCAAGCGGGAGCTGGAGGAAGGCTACACAAAGGTGAAATCCGACAAGCCAAAGAAGGATGACCAGACGGGAGGGTCTAAGCCAAGGGCCACGTATGACGGATCCGTCCATCAAATAAGGGATGAGAAGAAGGGAGAGCAACCTAAGAGGCCATGGACGGAGAAGTGGTGTACCTACCACCAATCTGACTCCCACAATACGGTGGATTTCCGAAATGTCAAGGCTGTGCTCAAGGAGATGGCCTTGAAGGGAGAGCTTGGGGAAGGTTACGCGACGGGGAATAAAAAAGACCCGAAAGCGAACACCTGGACTCGTCCTCAAGGGAATGACCAAGGATAGGAAAGTCACTTCAATGGATTCCCCCTCCAAATCTGACAACTTGACCTTCTTCTTCTTTTCCCCTTGGAAGTCTTGGGGGAGCCCTTCCTTTTTTGAGTCTTTGTATAGGAGGAAGAACGACCGGTCTCCTTTCCTTTGGCCTTGGTATCCTTCTTCGGAGAAGGAACCCGGTCATCCTCATAGAAATGGGTGGCCGAAGGGGACTTCACCTTCTTATCTCGAATGAGATCGTCGAGGGGAGTGCACCGGGCAGATGAAGCCCCTTCCATCCCAGGGTTTTGAGGAGGAGAAGGGGGGTTGTTATCAGGAGACCGGTTGGAATGAAGGACTTGGACGTCATCATCGTCATCCTCGATAATGGTGTTCATCTTGGAGAAGTTCATGTCTGCCAAAAAGAACAAAGCAAAAAATGACTGGTTAAATCGGTCACCTTACGCATGAAAAGGAAAATGAAAGAGAAATGCTTAAAAGAAAGGTGACCGACCTGGATGAGGAGAACTGGCCTCGGCATGATCTTCCGGGGAGTTGGCCTGGTCATCTTCTGCGTCATGGGTCGCAGATACACCCCATCCGAATTTTGTAACTGGTACACCCATCCCTCGTAGGCGTATGGTTTTCCGGTCACAGGATCACCCTTGAGAAGTTTCTCGCAAGCGTCCTCAAGCTCTTTAGTGGGCACCGGGTGAACCCTTTCAGGTTTTATAACCCGGTCAGCCCACTCACGGTTAGAGAGGGGAAATTGGTCAGGGGGAAACTCAATGAAAACAAATATTTGTTTCCATTTCTTGTGGCTAGGGGGAAGACCAGTTATAAAACCTCTAGAGTTGGCACGGGTATGGAAATAAACGAAGCCCGGGCAATTACTAGTCCCGGGCAAGACATCATACATGTGAAGGAAAAGATCGAGGGAAGGTTTGATGTTCAGAGATTCACAAATATTTACAAAACAATTCAAGAACCAGTGAGCATTCGGAGTAAGCTGACCGGGCAAAAGATTGAACTTGTTACAGATTTCTACGAGGAGGGGGCGAAGGGGAAAGATAATACCTCCCTCTAGAGAAGCAACGTGAAAACCCAACCGGTTGCCCTGATGGGGTTCTATAATGTTGGGCCAAGTTGTTTTTGAAAGGAGTTTATAGCCCGGTGGGAGGACGGCACGGACCTCCGCCAGAACCTTCTTGGTAACCCTAGAAGACTCTTTGAAGACCGGTCCGGAATCAAGGGCTAGGTAGCCCATTGATCCCAATCGTTCTTCCCACTGGTCCCAACTGAGGATCTTGGGGTTGAATCGACCGGGGAGTTGATTCAAAGGGACAGGCTCCTGGGCAATTATCTCCCGAGCCTGAGAGCTAGATTGGAGAGAAGGGCGGCGAATTAAAGGAGTGACAGGGGGAGAAGAAGACTCAGATTGGTTAGAGGAAGAGGGCTGAGAACCCGACCCATAAGAGTGACCAGATACGTTTTGTGAGTTAGAGGAAGACATGGTAATATTTTAACCGGTCAAAAATTGAAAGATGAAAGAAATAAAAGACTAGGAGGACCGGAGGACTTACTTGGCAGAAGGCTAGAGAGAGAAAGTGGGCCGGTCGAAACAAGAGAGGCGAGGAAGAGAAGTGAGAAAATGGAGTGGGTTGAAGGAGTATTTATAGGAGAGAGAGAGGAGAGTTGGAATTCGAGGCGACAAGTGGGAGGCTGAGGGGCTGACACGTGTGAAAGGGTAATGATGAGGGAGAAAATTTGAATTTTGAATGTGGAAGGTGAAAGGTTTTGGAGGGAAATTCCAAAATTAAAAAACCAGGCCTGATGCTTGGACTCCCCCGCGTTATCCAAGTGTGACAGGTCAAAGAGAAGGGTTAAATCAGATCTAAAAGGACATGTCATTGATGGCAGGTCAGTGACGGATCCAAAAAATGAAAGGTTATGGGATGGCTTATTGATTCAAAATGGACAGGTCAGATAGAAAGACTTCAGGACAGGTCTTAGAGGGAAAGGCTTGATGATTCAAAAGGACAGGTCAATGGGAATGACTTGATGATTTCAAAGAAGGATAGGTCTTGAAATGGGAAAGGCTTGATCATTCAAAGAAGGACATGTCTTGAAAGGGAAAGGTATTGATGATTCAAAAGGACAGATCAACGAGAATGACTTTGTGATTTCAAAGAAGGACATGTCTTAGATGGAAAGGCTTGATGATTCAAAGGGACAGGTCATGAGAGAGACTAGGTGATGTGATATGACTGGTCAGCAAGGGTGACTTGATGATTTCAAAGTGTGATAGGTCAACACAAATATCTTCCCGCCCTTGATGATTTCCTCACAAGGCTGGTAAGTGGAGGACTTCTTGATGGGTATATCCTTATACCCGACCCGGATAACCAAAAGGGACAGGTCAAAATATGACCGGTCACTTTTATCACTCACCAAATGAGGTTAACTCTTCGATTGGGACGGGTCAAAAGTTGACCGGTCACTTCCACTAAAAAAGTGACCGGTCACATTTTGGGCGTTAGCCAATTCGTCACTTCATGTTATGAAGGATAGTCCAGAGAACCAAAGAGACGGGTCGAACTCAAGGAATGACCGGACAACCTTGGAGGAAAGGTGACCGGTAAGGTTGCGTCACTTGGGAATGGCAATCAACGTCAGAGGCCAGGGGACCACCCCGCCGTTCGTTCGTCACGAGGCAAATAGTGAAAGGAACATTTGTCACTTTGCAGGGCTGATTAGATTGAGAATATCCATTTATAGTCTTTGATTGAACAGTACATGTCTTGGCTTGTAGTTGCTAAATTCATTGATTGAATAGTAGATTGATTATGTACAGTGACCTTCCCACGGGCTTCCTATTTTGTCCATGGATGAACAGGGGAAGGTCACAAGTCCTCCTCTATAAATATGATGATATTGGATAGAGGAGGGGGGCATTCTTTCTCTCACTAAAAATAGTACACTCTTGAAACAGAGTAAGAAATATATTTCGGACTGAGGAGATTTACCCGGTCTAGGTCATACTTTGTGTTCTTGTTGTGTGTTTTATATTACGGGTCAAGTGTCTAGGTTAAACCCGGTCAACCCCCCTATCTATATTTACACCATCACCCTTATCATAAAGCAATAAAAAAAGTTAAAGAAAAAAGGTGTAGTTCGTAAATTAGAAGAAAGACACAGGGCAAACATGTCATTTCATGCATTTTCTCTCCATGTGTACGTTTTCTCTTCAAAAGTGTAGAGAAAAGTTTTAAGGCTTTTTTTCACTATTTTTCTTCAAAAAATTGCTGCCAGGTACCCCCTATTTTGTGGTAAGAATTGCCAGGTACCCCCTAATATTCTCCCATCCCCGAGGGCCTCCTCAGACTCGGCAAGACGGTCGCTGAAAAAAGATAAATTGGACTTTAATCGTAGATGTAAAATGAACTACACTCGCAAAGGAATACTCAATACGGAATTATTCTCTCTCTATCCTCTAGCTCCCCACAACCCACCCACCCCACCCCCCTAAATCCCAAAATGCCAAATGCTACCATTTTATTCCATAAAAGAATGACGTATTATTATTTTTCTAACTTATTATTGTTAATATTAAAAATTAATATTAATAATTTTTTAATATTAAAACTAATTATTATTATTTATTACGAAGTATAATTTTCTTCTACCTTTACTATTTATTATTATTATTATTATTATTATTACTACTATTATTATTATTATTATGAAGTAATATTTTCTTCTTCTTCTATTATTATTATTATTATTCATTATTATTATTAAAAATTAATTAATAGTTTTACTATAAAATTGAAGGTGCCCGACAGTTCTAAACACAAAAATAGGGGTACTAAACAATAATTTTTTGTTTTTTTACATTAATGGAGATTGTGAAAGATTAATGGAGTAAAACAACTAAATAATAAAAATAATACTAAGAAGAATAATAACAACAATAATAATGGTAATAATAATAATACTAATAATGATAATAATAATAATAATAATAATAATAATAATAATAATAATAATAATAATAATAATAATAATAATAATAATAATAATAATAATAATAATAATATAAGGAGAAAAAGAAGAAATAAAGGTGAGTGGTGGAGGAGAACGAAGAAGTGGAGAAGGAGATGAAGAAGAAGAAAAAGAAGAAGAAGAAGAAAAAGAAGAAGAAGAAGAAGAAAAAAGAAGAGGAGGAGGAAGAACGAAGAAGCAGGGATGGTGGTGGTGGAATGATGATAATGATGATGGATGATGATGATGATGGTGCACTTGGAGAGAGAAAGGGCATAGATGAAGAATGGATGAAAAATCTCCTTTTGGTATATTTTTTTATAATTTGTGGTACCTGAGAATATATTTTAAAAATTAGGGGTACCTGACAGTTCTTATCACAAAACAACAAAAGAGAAAGAGGGTACCTAGCAATAATTTTTTGCTTTTTCCTCTCCCCATTTTCTATTGCAAACATACAAAAAAAGATTAGAAAGTTTTGTTTTTTCCCTCATTTGTACGTTTTCTCTGTGTTTGCCTATATTTTGGCGCAAATTATATTATACATCCGGCTGTACCTAGAGATAGGTACAGCCGGCGGTTAATAGGGCGAAAGGAAGCGCAAGAAACAGGCGATGAAGGAGGCTGGTCGATCGGAAGTCGGATCTGGGATTATGTGCGGATCTATGATGATGATCGATGATGATGATTGGTGATGAAGAAGGAAGACTGATGATGATGATGGGGTTTTGTTGATGATTCTGCAGCAGAGATGATGCGGTGATGAAGAAGAAGAAGAAGGAAGACTGGTGATGATGATGGAGTCTCTGCTGCGGTGATGATGAAGAAGAAGAAGGAAGACTGGTGATGATGATGGAGTTTTGCAGGGGATTATGATTGAAATCCTCGGTTAGGGCAGGAATGAATACCGGTTTAAGTGGGAATGAGTACAAGTAGTTTTTAGAATGTGTATTCGGTTATTTGTAAATTAATATTGCACAAATAAGTAAAAATGAGTACTTCTTTATTTTAAAATGAGTATTACCTTTGCTAGAATGAGTACTACGTATTTTGAAATAAATGTTTATATTTGTACGAAAATGAGTACTACATTTTAGAATGAGTACTACCGGGATGTAACTATTTCTAGGTACATCCGGATGTACCATATACCAACTCATATTTTGGTTGGGATACATGTAATTACCCCCAGTTGGTGTACTTTTCCTCCGGGAGCAAACAGTTTGATCACCTACTTCCTGGCTGAAAGATGAGATCCCTCTGAAGTTGAACCCGTTTTACTTCCTTCCCCGATTGTGTATTTGTCCTTCTCCATAATTTTCAGAAAGAGAACTAACCTAGATGGGGCAACAAACATCAAAAGACGAACTTCTCTATCAGCAAGTCAATTACGGCAATATCGAAGGTATCAAAGCTCTTCGTGGCGATGGCGCATGCCTCGAGGTATAAACAATTGTTTTTATCCGTGTGGATGAAATTTCCCGTCTTATTTCGTTTTCATGGTTTCGTCTGAAATGACTAAATTGTTGTTATAGCATATCCCTCATCTAGCTCCATATCTCAGTTTTTTACCCGTTGACTTTTGGGCTGAATTTATGATACTCAGTAGCTGGGAGGGAAAGGCTGATTCATTTTTTTAATTTCTAAAAACAGTGAAACTTATATTGGTGCATGTAGTTAGGTCATCTTCTCTTCACCAAGGTAGTTATATTTAAAGCTATTTCTGATCTGGTTTGATCTGATAAGAATAAGTAATTAGTAAAAAAATAAGTTGAAGAGAACATGGCCTTAAAATTTAGAAGTTTTAACTCTAAATCAGGCTGGTTTCCTAAAATTATTTATTGGGAAATGCTTCAGTAACTTGCAGAATTATCGGAGCCCAATTGATGTTACTACGCCTATGCTAAAAAAGCAAATGTTAATTCCTTTGACTTGATGCGTTGAAATTTTGGTTATTAGTGGATTGATAAAGAAGGAAAGACTCCCCTGATCTTGGCGTGCATGAATCCCCAGCTTTATAATGTTGCAAATACTTTGATCGAGCTGGGTGCAAATATAAATGCTTACCGCACAGGTAATGTGATTGCCCAAATCTTAAGCAAGGTTTAATACTTTCATCATTAGGCTTCTACCTTAATCTCTTTAGAATGCGTATACGAGGGTACACATAAAAGAAACTCATATTGGGAGTGCAAATGAGAGTGGATGGACTCTGTGGATGTCCCTACAATACACAGATCTCACACTACTGACCTCCTTGTAGAAGTAGGCTTTGCGGTTCACCCACCTATGATGTCTAGTCATCTTGCTATATCACTTTGAAGCATGGATGGCTCTGCGAGTAGGAAATCTTAAAAAGTGGAACAAAGTTGGGTATCTAAAGAAAATATCGAGTATGAAAATATCAAGATGGATAGTCATTTTTTTTCAAAGAATGAAGTAATTAGGATTTGCTAATTTCTTCCATAGTTTTGTTATATCTATCTCCTTCCTTAGGTCTTAAGAACACATGTAGCGTAGTAATAAGTGCCAATTTAGTGCATTTTCTTTTAGAAAATTATTTTGGATGATGACTCTACTATTTTAACACAAGTTCTAAATGATATGCCTCACAAAAAACTTATAAGATTTGAAACAGTCATTATATTTACAGCCTAATGAAGAGTTTTCAATAGCTACAGATAGCTCCATGAATGCCTACTAATTTTAGAATGGAAACATAATTGTTCATAGGTCATAGTGCAAGCATTAGTTGCCGGTGTCATAATCATTAACTTCTCAAATCTACGTTTAAAAATAAAAAACAACATATGACTACTTTGTAGTTAGATTTGAAACTATACCATATTAGCAACAACAAAAACAGCAACACAAATCAATTTGTAATTAGGAATACCGGATAAGGAATATGTTGATACAACACAAACCATACTATAAGCTATTGTTGACTAACATTTTTTACCATTACTTTTTGAGTTATTTTAAGAAGTCCACATTCCTAGAGAAAAACCATGTGGACCTAGTATATTTTTCTTGTCACGTATGTTTCCCCTATGTGTTTGACACATACTTCACATCTTCACCTCTTTAGATGTTTGCACGCTTCATAGTTTTAGACTTATCCATAAGTAACTAAATTTAATTACATTATGTTTTGAAAGCCACACAATCACACACCATATTCATGTTGCGTCTCAAGTAAAAGATAATTGTTAATAACTAATAAGCTCAATGTCCTCCAGTGAAGCAACTAGTTTGGACCCCAATGCATGTTTGACTTCGGTTAATTACTACTCTGTTTCTTTTTACTTGACACATTCACTATTGCATGGTCAAACTTTATCTTCTTTTTTACCTATTTTCGTTACTCATTTGATAAAATAAAATAATTATTTCACCTCTTATTTAAACTTTTGATATACTTGTATAGTTTTAATTATATAAAATTAATTTTTTAATTTTACAGTTTACACTAGTATTTTGATAAATTGAATTGAAAATAACTTCAACCAACCATCACAAACCAAAATGGGTCAAGTAAAAGGAAACAAATGGAGTATTTTGGCGTGCAAACTTGCCCGAGGTAATAATATGGTGTGTAAAGTCGTCCCGAGATAACAAAATGGTGTATATACTCTTTAAAGTATCGGAAGACTAGTAACTACTCCCTCCGTCCATAATTTATCTTCTTGGTTTGACCGGGCATGCATATTAAGAAAAACTGTAAATGTGATTGACTTTTCCAAAATACCCCTCCACCTCTTCTCTTTCGTACTCACCCCACTTGTCTTCCCGAGCTCTCTTTTTTTGTTTGACAAGCCGATTTAGCCGCCGACCAAAGAGCATCCACCGGCGAGGCAAGGTAACAGCCACTGACGAGGCGACAGCAACTGGTAAGGAGAGGTAAGATAGTGGCGATTGGGAGGAAAAACAACGCAGCGGCGACTGGTGACGCAAGAAAAGCAGCGGCGGAATAGATTTTTACAGCAATAGACGGTAGGTCTGTGCCATCCGACCGACGCGTTGCTGCTCAAATGGTACTTCTGACCGCCACCTCAATGCTTTGCCGTGTCACCTCCGACTGCCGATATAAATCTGAATGAACAAAATTTCAAATAGATCTAAAAAAGGGAGGAAGAAGGCGAGTTTAGAGGAATAAGGAGGAGGTGGAAGAAGAAGAAGAAAAAGACTCTGTGGCAGAGATTGGGTGGAGAAGGAAGAAAAAGAGATGGAAGAAGAAGAAGGCTGTAGAGATAAGAAATGGGTGGTGACTGGTGTGGAGGTTGAAATTCGTTTTTAAGGGAAAGGAGGACATTTCACACATAAAAATTTGCCTAAAATAAAAATGGGAAGATAATTTGTGGACAGACAAAAAAGAAAAGGTGGAAGATAATTTATGGATGGAGGGCGTAGTATATTGTCAAAAATGAAAAAAAATCAGTTTTGGTCCCTTAATTTTGGATCAAAATCACTTTTGGTCCTCAAGTATCACATTCATTAACTTTTGTCTTTCTAGGCATCAAGTACAAATCAAAATCAAATTTTGTGCCTCAAGTATCAAATTCATTACTTTTGCTCCCTCTACTCTCATAAAATACTCAACTTTAGTCCCACCGTTGAACTCAAGCCAATCAAGAGAGAGAATGAATGAACTATAACCTCAAAACAATTGTATAGTAAATACTCCCTCCGTCCACAATTAAACTTTACACTTTCCTTTTTCGTCCGTCCACAAATAAACTTTACATTTCCTTTTTTGGAAACTTTTTTAGGATAAAAAGACTTTATTACCCTCCCACCCCTGTTCTTTTCTTCTTTCTTCCTGTCCAGGACAGCAACCCACCCACCACCACTTTCTTCTCCCTTCTCCTTTTCTTCTTCCGGTCACCCCACACCTTTTTTCTTCTTTTCTTCTTCCATCTTCTTCTTCGCCTCTTCTTCTTTCTTCTACATTTTTTTTCTGTTTCTTCTTCCATCTACTTCTATCAACTTGAACAAGAAAAAAAATTTCAGATTTGCAGCGATTTTTTTCTCCAGATTTGCAGCGAAAATTCTCCCCTAGATTTGCAGCAAAATTCCAGATTTGCAGCGAAAAATTCCAGCTGTGGGTTGCGTCTTCGCCGGATCTAGATTTGCAGTGAAGTTTTTTTCAATTTTGTCCAGATCTGTGGCGGGATGTTGATATTCCTCAACGAGAATTCTGAAAATACACCTTTGCGAAAAAGGAGGTTGTGATAGTGAGGGATGCAGGTCTGCGACGGCGGGGGATGCGGGTTGTGACGGCGAGAGAATTCCGGGGGCTGCGAAGCCAGTGGCTTGCAACGTCGGGGCGCTGCGATGGCGGGGGCTTGCAACGGCGGGGGTTGTGGAAGTGTCATCAGGGGTGGTGCGGGTGGTGCCGTCGGCGGTGGTGGTGTGGAAGCCCGGCGTCTGCGTAGGCAGAGCTAATTGGCGTCACAATGGGGGGAACAAGGTAGGAAGGGTGAGGGGTGCAATGGGAAAGTCAAACCAATTTTTATTCCACATAAATTTGTGTGCCCAGTCAAAACGTAAAGTTTAATATTGGACGGAGGGAGTAAAATACTCTCTTTGACAAAAAAGTTAAATAATACACTGTGTTCAAAATAAGTCTTCTCACTTTCCTTTTTACGGAGATGTGAAAGGCTTACGGTAATAAGCGGGGTGGGGAAGGGGTAGACTTAAGAAGAATTGGAAAGAGGTGATTAGACATGACTTAAGTTTTGTAGCCCTAACAAGTTATATGACCTTAGATAGAAGCATCCGGAGATCTAGGATTAGGGTAGTTGGCTAGTCATTTGAGATTTAGGCCATAGTTGTTGCTCTTGTCGTGTGTGCTTTCTTAGCTTGGTGCTTTTTGTCTTTTTGTGTATTTCTATATCCTTTGTTTGCTTGTGTATTGGGTTCGTGTTTTGTGTTCCTTTTCTTTGTTGATCAAGCCAGGGGTCTCGTAAGATTCTACTCGGTTGTTGTATCTTTTTTTGGCAAATTCGCTGTTAGCCAAGTTTTTGTTTTTGTCCTGGACTCTCTTTCTAATTTATTAGACTTTTTGTTTT